GTCTTCTGCTGCCTGCGCAATCGGCGTCGGCGGAGAGAAGCGCTGGGCTGCGAGCGAGGACTGTGGACAGAGGGGGGGGGGGCGAAGTGCGGGCAGCGGGCGCTATCTCGACAGGTGTCGGCGCCCGCCTGCGGCGCCGTGCCGCGCCGCGACCTTGACCCGCGCCGTGATTCACCCCTTGAGACGCTCCCTTCCCTCCCTCCCTCCCTCCGCACACCCGCTGCCCGTGCCGTGGCGCGCGCGGATGGGCGAACGGCGGGGAGGCCGTAAACGCGATGGGAGATAGCGCCGATTCATTCGCCGGCCGCGAACGCGCCTCCTGGCGCCCGGTGAGGCTTTGCGAAAACCTGCGTGGGGGCGCCTTTTCGGTGGTCGTGTTCTGGCCTCAAGAAGTGCCGTGTGCGCCTTTTTGGCGTAGTCGGTTATGAAGGTAGAAATTGTGTGGATGGGATGAATTCGCGAAAATGTTGGATGTCATGTAAATATTGCTAGTAGAAATAAGCTGCGAATTAAAGAGGTGTGAAACAAACTACTGGAACGAATTTTAATTGGAATGTCTATTGTGGTGTAGAGTGGGTAACATACTATATTAATTATGTGGTCACAATATTTATTATGATATTCTGCTATTTCGTTGTAATGTTATTCCGTTTAATTTGTCTGTGTTAGAAATATTGATATTTTAGTGTTATCTATTAATTTATTTTTTCAAATATGTTTCGAAATACCCCTTTCTCTCTAAGTAAGTGATCATGATCGTTTCAGTATTCACTTCGTACATGCAATCGTTTTTAAAAACTCCCATTTTAATTTCCTAGCTGTGCCTTTAATCAAGGTATCGAGAACATTTTTAATGCATAATGGAATCGCAGAACCTTTCACCCAACGGCTACGAATGAAGCGTAGAGTCCGCTCTCTCCTTCCCCGCGAGGGTCACGGCGGAAGGCGCGGGGGTTCGCCGTTGCGATGCGCCAAAGAAGAAAGATTACTTCTGGATCACGAGCCCCAGTAGTACCTCCCTGATAGCGCCCTTTTGTCAGCGCCAACGAATGTCGGAGCAGCGCGGGGGCGTAGCGTCCCCACGCGAAAGCGGCGTAGCAGGGAAGGGCGGGCAGAGGAAAGGACAGGACTCGGAAGGGGGCCACGCAGTACTGGAAGAGGGACACACGCGGACGGGCAAAGGAGGAACTAGGGCGCGGTGATGGCGGCGTTTGGGAAGATGTGCTCGAATATGTGAACAGGCAGCAAGCAGAAGATGAGAGTGCGAAGAGTAAGAGTAAAGAGAGAGAAAGAGGGGGGAGAGAGAGTGAAGTAATGATTAAAACAGAGAAATATAAAAGTGCATCATCGGAGCTAACACACGTTGACAGGAACGTGATCTGATGAATGTTCTATTGGGATATTAGGGCTTCCCCTAATATCCCAAGTATGAGGACAATGAGGTAATGGAGCGCTGATTTACGTACTGACAGGTTGTTGAGCAGCTGGGTGTGCAAAAGAACTTTCGGGACAGATGTTCAAAATATGGATGCGTTTGCCGGCGATTGGGGAAGTCGAATCGTTGAACGAACGCGCGGTGAGCTGGCGGACTGGCGACTCAGAGATTGAACGAGAGGGAGAGTGCGTAGCTAGGCGGACGAGCGGAGGAACGAGCGACCGGGAGACGGCAGGCGATTGCCTCGCATTCTGGTCACGAACCCGGCTTCGAAGATTGCCGTTCCTCCCGCGGGACATGCTTTTGGCCCGCGGATGTCACGTACAGCTCAGGCCTCGAAGCCCCGGCTGCCGGGCTGCGGGAAGTCGTCGCGCTGGCTGAGCTCGGCCTTTCCTGACCTAAGTTGTTCGACGTCGAACAATGGAGCAGACCTGATGACAGTAATGTTTTTACTCCGTCTTTCTTTGTTTTGTTACGGATCATCCTTTGGGTCTTGTTAAAAATGACTATTATAGAAATAATAATATTATAAGAAATCTTCAATAAATTCGAAACGGAAGACACTTGTTATACAAAACCTTTTTATTCATTGGTATTCGTTGCATATAACTAATAATTTCATTAAAAGTTAAAGACATGACATTTATTAATGTGATTAGTTCATACCGAATTTCAGTGGAACACATTTCGATTGTTATGAGAGAAGGAAATAATCGATATTCAAGTTGCATTGTCAACAGAGCCAAGGAAGAAGTCCGTGTTTCTTTCAATGTGGTATGAAATTCTCAAAATTAACTATTGTGGTACATATTGTCTCCTCTCTTCATATGTAGGGTTCCAAACAATCATTCTGGATCTGCCGTCATGTTTTGTCTGTCGCCTCAAATTGATTTCGCTACGTCCGAAGTCTCTTTCACGTCTCCTGGCCACCCTTTCTCTGCGTTCTGTGTACCAGCCCCACACGAGTCGTCTGATCATCGAGTGCCTTTTCACTCTTCCAGGGCATCACCCATCGCTTTATCCTCCCGCACGCCGCTTTTCCGCCACATCACACAGTACACCGACACACTTCTCTTCGTCACTTGTATTCCCCTGCGCCCTCTGCAGCAGGCCCTCATACGCCCCCCCCCCTCCACTCCCATCGCGGAGCGGCGCCGCGGCGCGCGTCTGTCTGTGCGCTTATGCGCGCGCCTCGACCCCCTTTTTTTGTCGCAAATGTCATTTAATGGCCTTTCGCGTTCCGCCGCATTTATTTTATTCGCAATCTCCTGGCCGCTGCGCGCCGCGAGGGCGAGGTGGGTTAATTGCCCGAGCGCGCCCCCTTGCGGTACGCCTGCGCTCCAATCCGCGACCTGGCACCGCCCCCGCCCCCGCCCTCGCCCTCGCCCTCGCCATCGCCATCGCCCTCGCTTCGCCTCGCCCCGCCTCGCCTCGTCCCCGCCCCAGCTCTCGTCCTTCCCCTAATGCATCCGATTCCTCGCCCTCACTTGTACCGCCGTCCTCATCGCCCCCGGCGTCGTACTAACCCCCTCCCTACCACTGCCGTGCTCACCGTTGTTACAGTCTCCACTGCCGTCCTCACCATAGTCATTTCCGATGACTACGCCCACCCTCCCATTTCATCGTTCACCGCTCTCATCACCTTCCACCTGCGTTTTCCCCGTTTCTTCACCGTCTCTATGTGGCCCACTGTCTCCCATTGATTCCTTGGCCTTCCACCTTTCGAATCCAATTCTACCCCACTTCCTCCCTTTCCCATTTCAATATTCCTCTGCTCCTCTCTTCCTCATTACACCTTTCATCGCCTAGTCTCTTTCTTGTTGCTCCCGTTTTACTTCTGTATTCTGCCTCTGAATTAGAGTTTACTGAGGCCCTCTCTTTCGCAGACGCACTGGCCGTGTTCCTCTTCGACTTCGTTCTCTTAATTTTCATTCCTCCCAACTGTGGTGTCTCCACATCCTCTGGCTCCCTCGCTTCCCAGAGCTGCGACCTCGGTTGCCCGAGCCTTGTTATTCACCTTTGTGGCTTTTGATGCTTGGTTATGACGCTGGAGCAAGACGACCGAGAGGACAGAGCGTGACCACCCGGTTGGTGAACGACTACAGCATTTCGTGATATTTACCTCAGCACGAAGGGCAGTCCTACACAAACGCTTTTGTCAGAGCTAATTGAAGGATTCTCAAAATTTCGTGGGTGACGTTGAATAAAAACTCCCATCCAATTTTCGTCGATGGAACTGTTCCATAATCCACGATTACCTTCAAGTAGCCTTCACTTTATGGTCAAACTAGTTGATTTTATTTATTGTTTTTAGACCAAATGTATAAATTAATTTTCACTACTATTTACATGTATATTTTTGGTATCAGTTTACAGTTTTCTCTCGCTGTTTTTCTTTTATTAAATTTTTGCTTCATTGTTTTTGTGATAAATGATTACTTGAATAAACATATGTTCATTGAGTTCAAAATGACTCAATGTCATGCTTTTGCCTCTAAAACTTAAAATAAGCATCTTGGGAACCTTCCATCTTTTAGAGTGCATGTACGTTAGTGCTTATTCTTAATTACACTGTAATTCAACGTACCGAGACGCCACACAATATTTCATTTAATTTTCGTGTGTTTGAGGTTTCCTTTACAGCACTTGTACTCAAACGTGGCATACTGTTCCGCCTGCTCACTGCTTCCACTCTTCAACCGTTCCGTTTCTTTTTCATTTTTTTTCTTGTTGCCTCGTGAATGTAAAGCAATTTTATTTGAGAAGTAATACCAGCGAGAAAGAACAAAGTCGGTATGAAAACTTCTGTTTTATGAACTTGGAACCCCTAATATAAATGCGGCAATTTTTGATAAATTACCGTGTGTTTTCTTAGTATAAGACGCTCCGCAGAGAGAAAGAAGAAAAAAAACGAAAGAAATGTTCATGAATATATTAGCGGTAAAATAACTGCGCGACCAAGTTCGGCGGAGAGCGTGCTCTGCGGGTGAAGTCGACGCCCCACCTCCGGTTTCTAGGGAAGCACGAATCGATACTCGAAATCGCAAGTGGTCGACGTCTCCCCCGAGGAACCCGCCGGGAGGGGAGGGGCGGTGGGTGTATCACCCCCTCCATCACCCCCGCGTTCCTCTTTGCTCGCCGCCCTTCTCAGCGGCCGCTAATATGCACTCCGAGAGTGGATTGAAATAATGAGGATTTTATCAAAATCTCACTCATTTCAATAATGGCCTTTTCATGCGGCACGTCATACGTGCAATGTATACGCCGGATAGGCCCTTCGCATGCGAGACTGGGACCGACTGCCCGCCCATTCTCCGCCGCCGCCC